GAGTTACGGCCATACGCTCTTCCTTCCTGTTAATTTGTGGGTCTCTAGCTGAAATCCAACATGCCTCAAGTGCTTTCCGCGCATTAGTCTCCGTTTCTAGTGCCAAGACGGTTACTGAAATTGTGAGTTCGTTACCATCGTGTTATCCACGATGGTAACGGTTGATCGGAGCAGTTGCAATCAAGATTTAAACATTGAAAACGATACTCCGTTTCCTGTTCGCTGACCGCAGACTCATCCCTCCGGACCCCCAGTTTCATGTCTTTCATATCATCTTTCACCTCCGAGACTTACCACAGCTTTTTCACCTACTACTACTTTCGCGGATTACTACGAGATTTCTCAATAGCAAGAACCTACGGCTTTTATAATAATATGGAACACTTTAAGACCTAGATCGTGAGTAAAACTCATTCGGAGCCCGCTGCCTCTCGATACTAAGGAAAGGACGTGTAGGAAGTCCTTGTAAATCCTGGCCTAACCAAGGAACAATTAATCCAAAAAAGTCTTATATCTCAAGATTTTAACTGGTTTTCATGTTTTCTTGCCAGCGGTGTATGACATTATTCTTAACCAATACTTTTGCCTTTGATATCGATATCCACCTAGATTACCGAGCATTCCATCTCTTCGGGGTCGTTTAATTGGTAGCAGAATCGTCTGGGAGATAAAAGCACTGACAAGGCGCCTACTGAGTACCTGTTGATTCTTTGCTCCACTTACTGGCAAGGCACTGGCCTCCGTACTAGGATTATTGCTTAAGCGGCTCAATAGGCAAGCCACCAATCATCATTAAGCAAATGCACCTGTTTTAATTTTGAGCATTATGATGAGACTTCCTCTTCATATTGTTCATGATAAGCACTGTAAAAACCCATTTTCTCGAGTAACCATTGCCGAGTTTAATGACACACTGTGGCCGACCACGACGGGCGAAGATCAAATCATGACTGATGGGTGATCGCCTTGTAGAGTTAAGGAACTGTATAACTACGAGCGTTCAATATTCTTAGAAGCCTTTATTAGTTTATTAGCAACAATCTAAAAAACGGACAGCAATTCCGCTACTGAGAGCAGTGATATATTCAATTGTTAGAAAAAAAAACGTGCTGGTATATTAGACACAACAGAAAAGTTGATGGAAAATCCGACTTCTTTGCAGGCTCAACAGAAACACGATGTTGCATCCTTCGCTGTAGTCTGGGCTATGAATGATGGCTTCAGGTAATTTTGATTAAGAAACCTCCTAATTGTTCCCTGTACTTGCTCTTTTGTATAGTATCTGAGGCTTGTTCGGAGACCTGTTCCCACGTTGATTTGTTCCAGCTTGCAACATGTGCATTATGAATCTGGAAACAATCTTTTAACAGTTTTTGTATGGAATCTTGTAGAAGTAGACCCCTTCTTCTATAGTTGAAAAAGCTTTTCTCCCCATATTGTTGAACTGAAGGCACAGAACACGACAAATACGGTTTGGGCTCATACTGATAGAACCAGACGTATGGTACAGACAAAGGTCGGAAGGGAACGAAGAAGGCGATTTTATACTCACTTTGACCAGTAGGTGCATTTTTGTAAACTCAACACATCAAGGTCACGCACTCGAAAAGACTGATCACGTCATGAGAAATGGCTGCAGATTGATGCCAACAATCTGGCTCTTCGACGTGCCGGGCTCGCTCCGTCTGCTGCCTGCGTGATGGAGCACGCATAGCAGGACGGAGCGATCGCCGTAGTTGTTTACGGTAGTTCTTCAGCCGTGTGCGTGCGTGCGAACTTGAGAGTCAGAGGACAAGGTCCGCTACGGCTAGTGCTTAATACGAACTTTATGGAGCGAGAGAATTTCGACATCCTCTCGCTCGGAGCACCCGTCACAAAGCTCTGTGTTCCTCACAAGTTCCTCGACCTTCCTATCTTCCATTCCTAATGAGAAGACGAACTTCTATGTTTTGTTAATCTCAACTTGTCCTGTCCATTGTCTACCTAAATAAAAAGCAAGTGTGGGTGCATGGGTATGCATGGTGCCCTGCGCTACTCTTGGAATAGCTTCACCTATTCACAGCCACTCAAGAGAGAATTTCACTGAAAAGTAATAGAGAGGGTGAGAGTTGGATCGCGGTTGGTCGCTTCCATGTGACCCTTTCCAGCTGTCACCCTATGTGCCTAAAAACGCCGTCGCTGCGTACATACGTTGTTGATAGTGACGGCGTTTAGTTGCTCAACAGTTATTCCGACTCAGCCATTAAACGACATAATGAAGTTCTATTCTGGACCATGCTCGACTTTCTATTGATCTTCGCATAGCTAGACTTGTCTTTTGTGCTGTTTTGAGCCCTTCCGAGATTCACAACTTTATGCAGCATACGTTTCGGCCTCGTCACCTTCTTCAGATCCTGAAAGCCGAAAAACGAATTGAAATTGATCCTCACGTATGTCTAGACAATACCCAAAACAGTCCTCTAAACTAGTAGACACCCTGGACTCGATCAATACAGGGTGTTACATGGCTTACCTTGTACTCAGAGGCCAACCCCTAGGACGTCCACATAAGAACAAATTTTCTGCGCACAATAAGCAAACCATCTTCTTCCTGATCTCACCGTAATTTGAAATTTGTAGAGGTCGAGGAAGGGCGCGAGGTCACAGGTTATGGCCACACACTCTTCCTTTCTATTGTTTTGTGGATTCCTAGCGACAATTCAAAACGCCTTGAGTGCTTTCCGCACAGGGGTGTCCACTTCTATTGCCAAGATGGCTACTGAAATGGCGAACTCGCTACCATCATGGCACTCAATTCGATGCATTCCTAAAAGTGTTTGTATGCGAGACTTTCTTAGGCCCTCCAGATGTTCCCTGATTCGCGTACGAAGGGGGTGCCCTGTTTCACCTACATACTCAGCATCGCAGGCCTGGCATCAAATTTGGATAAACTTGTGAATCTCGGAAAGGCTAAAACAGCACAAAAAAAGTTCGATTCTCTCGGAAGCATATGCTGCACTGCGGGAAGCCGAACGTTAGGGCTTGTTAAAGCTGGGAGCTCGGTGAAGGAAGACTAGAAGGGTAAGGAAGAGGGCATACTTCTGAACAATTCGATGTAATGAAATGCTGGAGCTAATGAGTATAGTGCTTACCTTGAGGCTTCCTTTGTATGTAAGGAATTCTTGGGGAATCGTATTTTCTAATATGGTGCACTTTGTGCTTTGGCAAACAGATGCTAGCTGATATGGATTTGAAATCACACCGCAATTGTACACGCTTCCGCTACTCTCCGAATCAACTGTAAAGAACTCGATTACAAATTTCCAAAGTGATTCTTATTGCAT